CTCCCCACCTACACTCACCTTTACTGGCTCCATCCCTGCCTCCTTGCTCTGTCTTTCTCCTCTGCACCTGGCTGCTCCTTTATCCGCCTTCCATCTGCATCCCCCTCTCTCTCTATTTATTTCAGAATCCCCTTCCCCTCCCCCATTTCTGAAGAAGGGTCCAGACCCGAAATATCAGCTTTCCTGCTCGGCCTGCTGTGTTCATCCAGCTCTACACCTTGTTATCTTAGATTCTTCAGCATCGGCAGTTCCTACTATCTCTGATCAAAAGTATATCCAGGTGGAGGTTTAAAGAAAAGAGCAACAGGAAATTGGAGGAGACTGGAGAGGTTATTTTATTGGGTATATAGTTGAGTTTCTGAAGGCTTTCACACTCACAGTGGAGAGGGAGCAAGGGGAGGTGTACAGTGGAGTTTGCGGGCAGGAGGGCAAGAAGAGTGAAAAGACTGGAACAGGATGAAAGGGTAGCATAGTGTGATACCATGGAGGAGTTCATGAACAATGATGAGGATTTTGAATCTGATTAAATCAGGGACTGAGAGGCATTTAAATGTTGATGTGGGAGAGATGTAATTACATTAGAGTTGGGGACTAAATGTGGTGTGTCAAAATTTGCAGATGACACTAAAGGTGAGTGGTAGAGCAAAGTGTGCAGAAGACACAATGTCTGCAGAGGGATATAGATAGTCTAAGTGAGTGGGCAAAGGTCTGGCAGATGGAATACAATGTTGATAAGTGTGAGGTCATCCATTTTGGTAGGAATAACAGCAAAATGGACTATATGTTAAATGGCAAAAAATTGCAGCACGCTGCTGCGCAGAGGGACTTGGGTGTCCTTGTGCATGAATCGCTAAAAGTAGGATTGCAGGTGCAGCAGGTGATTAAAAAGGCAAATGGAATTTTGTCTGCCATTGCTAGAGGGATGGAGTTTAAAAACAGGGAGGCTATGCTGCAGCTGTATAGGGTCCCGGTGAAGCCACACCTGGAGTACTGTGTGCAGTTTTGGTCTCCTTACATGAGGAGAGATATACTCGCACTGGAGGGGGTGCAGAGGAGATTCATTCGGTTGATTCCAGAGTTGAGAGAGTTGGATTATGAGGAGAGACTGATTAGGCTGGGATTATACTCATTGGAATTCAGAAGAATGAGGGGAGATCTTATCGAAACATATAAGATTATGAAGGGAATAGATAAGGTGGAGGAAGGGAGGTTGTTTCCGCTAGCAGGTGAAACTAGGACTCGAGGGCATCGCCTCAAAATAAAGGGAAGCAGATATAGGACTGAGGTCAGGAGGAACTTCTTCACCCAAAGGGTTATGAATCTGTGGAATTCCCTGCCCAGTGAAGCGGTTGAAGCTACCTCGCTGAATGTTTTTAAGGCAAGGCTAGATAAATTTTTGAACAGTAAAGGAATTAAGGGTTACGGTGAGTGGGCAGGTAAGTGGAGCTGAGTCTCAAAAAGATCAGCCATGATCTTATTAAATGGCAGGTTGGCTCGAGGGGCCGGATGGCCTACTCCTGATCCTAGTTCTTATGTTCTTATTAGAAGCAGGTGAGAGGAGGATCACTAGATTGATTCCAGAGATGAAAGGCCTACTTCATGAAAAATTGAGCAGTTTAGGCCAATGCTGTCTGGAGTTTAGAAGAATGAGAGAAAATCTAATTGAGGTATAAAAGATGCTAAAGAGGGTTGACAAAGTAGATGTAGAAAGGATGCTTCCTATGTTAGGCCATCTAGAACAAAGAGGTCATAGTGTTAGGATAAAGGGGTAACAGATTTAAAACAGGTGACAAGAAATTTCTTCTCTCGAAGAGGTCATGATTCTGTGGAATTCATGACCCCCAGAGTGTGGTGGATGCTGGGATATTGAGCAAATTTAAGGAGGCGACAGATTTTTAATTAGTAACGGGTTGAGGGATTATAAGAGAGAGTGGGCAGGAAAGTGCAGTTGAGGCAGAGTTGAGATCAATCATGTTTGTACTGAAAGGCAGAGCAGCTTGCAGGGGCTGAATTGCCAAACGTTGCTCATAGTTATGTATCAGTCAAGACTAAGCACAAGCATAAGCAAAAGCATAACACTGTAGGACTGAATACAGTGCTACAGCTGGTGTTTGGGAACCTGGCTAGAAGTCAGAACAAAAATATAAAAAGAAACATGAAGTTAATGCACATCATTATCTTCACTCCCAGCATCTACCCCTCAAAATTCACTCATCTGCATATAGGCAAGGTAAATGACAAAGTGCCTCCAATGTCAAACAGTAAGTTTCTGTGTACACCACATCAGTATAGCAGCAGCTTAACATTTTTTAAATTTTACTAGGTTTAATCTTAAACTTAGAATTCAGCTGTAGGATTTATTCCCAAAAAACTGACTTTATAAATTGGTTTAGAGGGATCAGCAGTAAGAAAATGTCTGGATTGCCAGTTAGGAAACATAATTAATGTTGGAGTATGGATGCAAATCCACATCAAGCAGACAATTAGAAATCCTGAAGGAGGTTATTGAACAATGCACCTGATGAAAGGTGCATTGCTGGTCCTGCATAAGCATCCACAAACAGAACAGTCTATGAACCTGTGGCGAGATCAAGCACTTCCATTATAATCTGTTCATGTGGAGAAACATGCTTTGTTCTGCAGTTCTGCTTTTGTCAGCCAGACATCCTTTGTTTCAAACAATATCATAGTCTCTCTTCATACTTTTGTTTTTGAAGCAGAGGGCGAGAGTTGGAGGAAGAAAATACTTTTATAAAGACCCAATTCTGAAATCCAAGGACAAGCTCCTAAGTTTTGTCAATAATAGTTGTGTGTTTGGTTAGGCACACTAATCATCACATCACCCTAATGCTGCTGCAAAAGTAAACAACAGAGGCTGCCCTCATTAGGGAAGTATTAACCACAAGTTCGGTATAAAAGCATCTCAGAATTCCTGGTACAGAACACTGTAATCAAATCTGTTTAAAAGATTCAGAAGTCTCTTCACATATGACTTCCTTGAACTTGGTGAACCTTGCATAAGGTAGCAAGTTCCTGGGTACTCACATTCCTTTACATAATCAGTTCCAAACTGGAAAACGTAGTTAAAATCCATTACTTGGCAAACTGAAAATTCCTTTTTCCCCCACACAGTTTAATGGTAAAAGCTCACCAATTCATTTGCGTGCTTAGACCAGGCAAGATTGCAGACTTGAGAGCCTGTGTCGACACACTGCAGGGGCTGGCATGTCAGTGTGTTCCAGAAACGAATGCAGCGATCAGCAGTGCCCCCTCCTGATGCCAGAAGGCCATGCTGATGAGGAGACCAGGCAATGGCCTTTACTGCTGCTAAATGTTCTGTGTATTGCTGGACCGGGCTCAAACTGGAATTATTCCATACAAAGAGCTGAAAGAAAAATAAAATCCGGTTGTAAAACAAAAAAACCAACAACAAAAAAAAAAGGATATTCAGCAGTGACTGTAACATCACAAAAGCTTAAGCTACTATATTAGTCATCTGACCCTGGTTCCAATGGGAATTTTTAAATAAAATTTGAAAAGATTCCATCTCCTCCATCATTTGCTCATAGTTAAGCAGCTATATCAAGAGTGATAATAGCAGAAGGTCAATATCACAAGGCCATTTCAGATTTCCAATTTTTGCAAAGCTCTCTCCTATTCCTGGGTGTATGAGTGTACAAATTCTTACTGTACTTGCCTTGTGTTCAATGGACAAAATGAATAAGTTTGAACTAAACCCTAGATTTTGGACACCACCGGAATGAATGTCAGGTACCTTGTTATCGTTGCCCCCAGAAGCTAAGTGCTGGTGATCAGGAGACCACTTTAAACCACAGACTTCCTGCCTGTGGCCCTGTAATCGCCGCTCCATCTGAAGTGGAGGTGTTCTCACATCTCTCTGTAGAATGAGACGGTCCCGACTTCCTGACGAGAGTTGATCAGCATTCCAGGCCAAAGCCCCTATACATTAGGCAACACAGTAATACTATTCGTTTTTAAAAAAAAGTAGCTTTTGTGTTAGTGACTACTTTAGTCTCTTCCCTCTTCTTTCATAACTGCTGTGAAATCTATAAGCAGTAAAGGCCTTATTGTCTCAGTCACTACCTTCTAATTGATCCACTACCAATTAGTTTAAATAAGTGAACATTAAAATGTTTAAAGTTTGTGGCAGATGTGTTTAATAAAGGTTAATATACATCAATGCAACAATAAATCTGGGTAACACAGCTACGTTTTGTATAACACACTGTACATGAAACAAATGTACACTTGGATTATTTAATAATAACATAATGCAAATATCTTTTTTATCTTAGTTATTTTGATATTAAGCCTGTGCTCTTGAAAAGAGTTTCAAAGTCCATCATTTGAGCAAACAGTTGTACTCAATGCAAGGTCCAAATTTTGTAGGATTCTACCATAAAATCCCAAATGCACAGGATTAGAAAATACAATTCTTATCCATAGGGCTGCCCCAGAATTTTATTAACGTTTACCCTTATGTTAAAGTGAAAGAATATTGGATGCATCCAAAGGAATCAACAGGTCATTCCAAGGCAGCTCAGTCTTAATTCCTGCAGGTGTTAGGCATATCCCCAAGCAAGAAGCAAGTTGGGGAATCTGTAGGCTGCATTTGTACATTTCCTAACTTCGCAGGAGCACCTACATACTCCTATAATTATAATAATGCAATATGACTTGCGCTGTGCAAATAATTACGTTATGTACACAATGAATTGGACTGTACATTCAATGGCTTCAGTAAGGCCATATTTTATTAATGTTGCTAGTAGGGCAGTAACTCTTTCTTAAATATCCTAGACTTTTCAGAAAATGGTGAATAGTACAAACTGTTTGCACAGTATACTATCACATTTTGGTTGTTCATCTTTCTTCCTGCCAAGGTTATGCGAGACAAAAGACACAAACCATTTCAATCTGGAGTATTGTTTACACTGGGTTTGACACCGATGCATCTAGTTGTTTAGGCACAGGAGTAGCTCACTGAATGTGTTCTGCTCATGAACTGAACCACAGCTGATCTGTATCTTAACTCCATCACACCCACCACTTTGGGTTTGTAACTAGTAATATTCTTGTCTGACAAAAAAAATTTTTCATCTCCATTTTGAAAGTTTCAATTGACCCATCGTGAGCTATTGGGAAAACAGCTCCAGATTGATGCAGCTGCCTGGCATTGTCTCAGAACAGCTGAACTCAAATTTAACTTCCAGTAAAACAATACGCTTGTATCAGATTATAAATACAAACATCTCAAAACAATCAAAATGTGTTCACGTCAGAAACCTTCAAAACAGTTATAAAACTTTATATTGGTTATTATTTTTAATACGATGAACAAACCAGCAGTTTATAATAAATTTCCCATAATTATGGTTTTACTTAAATACATCTGTTCTTCTGTATTTTTTAAAAAATGCCTCTTCTAAACTCTAATTCTGAAACCAGGTGGTAAATCTGTGGAACTCATAGCTACAGAAAACTGTGGACGTCAAGTCATTGAGTGTTTTTAAGACAGAGATAAGTCGGTTCTTGAATAGTAAGGGAATAAAAGGTTTCAGGGAGAAGGCAGGAGAATGGGGCTGAGCAAACTCAGTGGGACGAATAGCCTAATTCTGCTTCTATATCTTATGGTCTTATTATCGTTATAGCAATACTTACCAACTCTAGCAGAATGTCCGTCAAGAGAGCTCAGCTTTTTCCCAGCTGCCGCATCCCAGATCTGCACATATCCCTTATGGGTACCCACAGCTACAAAATTCCCCTGCGTATATTGAGAGATTGTTTGCATTAAGTTACTGAGACTGAGACTGTTACCACGGAACCTCCTGCAGGTGGAATATCTTGTTTTTATGTAATACCTTGAACGTAATAAAACATCCCAAAAGCACATAGATTGATGTCCTACTCCCATAGTACATTAATGGTGCAGTTCCCCCTTGGAATGCTCAAAGCAGAAGCCGGGGTTAAATCTTTCTTCAGAATTTCCCTCTGTCCTAACCCTCCAAACCGTGCCTCCCCACAAATGATCAGGAACTCAGCAGGGATGGAGAAAAGAAGGAAGTCAACTTGTACCTCTTCATTCCACTCAAGATCTGTAGATGAAGATAGTCAGATCAGAAATGTTTGAATTAGTTGGAAGTCGTACCCAAGCTATCCCTTATCACCCCTGGTATAGGTAGGCAGGTACTAAAATTGAATCATTCTTTGGATACATAATTGTTTTTCTCAAGTCAATGTTGCACTTTTCCACTATGTTGTCTTTAAAATTTCAAGTTCCTAGAATTTGTGGTTTTGCTTTTCTTGAAAGTCAATTCCTGTACAGTTTCAAATGACTCCATTCAATTGATGACCAGATCATGAAACAGAAATTCTCGAGTCATTTTCTGTCTATTCACTCACTCACTTTACCCAGTCAACTGGGTGATAATTCAGTTAACAATCAACATTTTGCACAGATCACCCAACGCTATAGCCCATTCACTCAAAATTAAATGCACTAAACACCGAACTGAGCAAAAATCATAAGGAATAGCATTAATAATAGCCTTGAGGTAAAATGTTAAGAAATATTTGAAAGTAAATCTGAATGAATTTGAAAGTATTCTATTGATATATTGGAAAGACTGAAACCATTGTTTTTGGTCCTCATTCCAAACTCTATTTCCAACTCATATGCACTCCTGGCTGGTCACCAACATTTTACTATAATTCCCTCCCTTAAACACGAGTTCATATGAAACTCTCCTTCCCATGTCTTAAATCACACTGACTCTCATTTACCTGTCACGCTTGTGCTCACTGGCCTATATTGACTCTCGGTCAAGCAACATGATGATTTTAAAACTCTCGTCCTTGTTTTCAAATCTATCCATGAAACCTTGCTTCTCACTATCTCCAGCCCCATAATCTGTCAGGATATCTGGGCTCCTCAAATTCTGGCCTCTTGTGCATTCTCGATTTCAATTAATCCACCATTGGCTGCTACATCTTAAGTTGCCTAGTTCCCAAGCTCTGGGATTCCTCCCAAAACCTTTGTATTTTTAGCTCACATTTCACTTTTAATACACTCCTTAAAATCTACTACTTTGACTTTGCTTCTGGTCAACTGACCTAACACTCCCTTGTGTGGCTTAGTGTCATCTTCATTACAGTGTGAAGCACCTTGGACTTCGTAGTACTTTAAAGGATATACATAATTAAAATACGCATAAGACAATGTTGTTTGTATTGCTGTGCAATAAAATCTTACGGATTTCACTAAGTTTTGATTAGCGAAACAAAAAGGAATCAAATGCATCAGATAATCACCATGACATTTGATTACACTCACCCTCTCATTCCAACAAACAGATGTAACAGAGTCACCATCAATTGAGAGATCACACAGCCTAGTGACCTAGGAAACAAAAACATAAAACACTGCTTAAGGTTTTAGCAAAGATTTGTAACTCAGATTGTGGGTGAGGTTGTTGACATGCTCACCGAGCTGGCTTGTTTTTGTTCAGATGTTACGTCGCCATGCTACGTAACATCATCAGTGAGGCCTCCGATGAAGCACTGTTGTTCTACCTTGTTTGGAATTTACACTGTCTGGTCCGTTATGGTGAGTAGTGTCATTTCTGGTTTTGATCTGTATGGCTTTGTATATGGGAATAAATTCTGTATATTTGTTGATTGCATTATGGGTTGAGAACCATCCCTCTAGAAATTCCCATGAATATCTACGTTTGGCTTGGGCTACTATATAGTTACGTTGTCCCAGTTAAACTGATAGCCTGCATTGTCAGAGTGTACTGATATTAAGGAAAGTTAGTCATGTCATTTTGCAGCTAGCTGACATTCATGTATTCTGATGGCGACTTTCCTTCCTGTTTGTCCGATGTAATGTTTGTGGCAGTCATTGCATAGTATTTTGTAAACCACGTTAGTTCTGTATATTGTGGGAATGAGGTCTTTAATCCTTGAGAGTGTTTCTCGTAGAGTGGCTGTGGGCTTGTGTGCTATCATGATTCCTAATGGTCTTAGGAGTCTCATTGTCAGTTCTGATATGTTCTTGATGTAGGGCAGTACGGTCAGTGTGTTAGGGCGTACTGTGTCCTCTTGCTGCCTGTTTAGTAGGCACCTGTGGATGAAGTTGCGGGGATATCCGTTCATAGCGAAGATTTTCTTCGTCTTTCCTGCGTAGTTCTGGAGTGTTGCAGCAAGTAGTGGCCCGTTTAATGGTGTCTTAATGCAGCTTTGTTTGTGGACGTTGGGGTGGTTACAGAGGAGTTGGTCAGTGTGGGTTGCTTTCCTGTATACCGAGGTTTGGAACTCACCGTTCAACAGAAGCCGATTATTGTTTTCTTCTTCTCTCTTGAATTTAATCCCCGTGAATACGTTGTTGATGAGGTGGTGGGTCTCTTCTAGTTTGTTGCATTTAATATTGACAAACGTGTTGTCCACACACCAGATCCACAGTTTAGGTTGAATGAGGGGCAGGGTAGTGTGTTCTCGTCTTTGCAATGACAGCCTCTGCGATGAGTCCTGAGATGGGTGACCCCATGGGTGTGCCGTTGATCTGTTTGTATATTTGACCATTAAAGACAAAGTGTGTGGTGAGGCACAAGTCTAGTAGTTTGAGTATGTTGTCATTGCTGGTGGAGCTGCTGGTCTGCATTCCTGCTTCCTCTAGTAATGTGGCCAGTGTTTCTTTGGCTAGTGGGATGTCAATTGACATGAATAATGCTGTGACATCAAAGGATACCATAATCTCATCATTGCTGATTTTTACGTTCTTTAGGGTATTGAGGAATTCTTGGGCTGAGTGGATGGAATGGGGTGATCCATCGACCAGGTGTTTCAGTCTCTGTTGTAGGTCCTTGGCCAGTTTATGTGTAGGTGTGCCCAGTTGGGAGACAATGGGTCTGAGGGGGATGTCTGGTTTGTGTACTTCACGAAGTCCATAGAACTGGGGGATGTTCATACCTTCTGTTTTCATTCTCATTTAGTCTGTCTTGGTTATCTGTCCTGCATCCCTTAGTCTCTTCAGTGTCTGGGTGATCCTATTGCCTAGCTGCGGTGTTGGGTCTATCGCCACCTGTTGGTAAGTGTTTGTATCTGCAAACAGTGCTTGTGCTTTCTTGACGTAGTCCAGTATTTTCATGTTCCCTTTGTCCACTGGTAGGATTATGATGTTCTTGTCTTTCTTGAGCTTATCTAGTGCTTATCTAATGCTTTTCTCTCTGTGGTCAGGGTGTCCTATTCGTTCCTTCGGTTTACTGTGGGGATTATAGTTTGTCGGATGGCTTGTTGTGTTTTGTCCGTGAGTCTGTTGTCTTTTAATGTAGTCTCCAGGGCGGCCGTGAAGCCTGTTCTGTTCGCATCTTTGCGGTTATGGTTCAGTCAGTGTAATAAGACAGCTTTCTCAGTTTCTGTGAGTTGTCTACTGGATAGATTTCTTATCCATGTGTCCAGTTCATTATTGTCCTTGTCTTTGTGGTGGACCAGTTTGGTAAGTTTCTCCTATGGCTTGTATCTCCTCTTAGTTTTGGTCCTGTGTTGTTTGATGATGATGGGCTGTTCTAGGGTTGTAGTCCATAGTTTGATCTTTGGTGTGAAATTTCCCATTTGTACTTGTCGAGTCGGTTATGGGCATCATTAATCATTACCCATAGCATTCTGTGTCCGTTCTGTTCAGCTATTTTATATGCCTGTGGGTTGTTGGGTGGAGGTTTGTACTTCACGCTGTGGGGCAGTACCTGGTTCCTGAGGCATTCGTGGGGAAAGTGAAGTTGTTCGCAGGTAGCGCTCAGTCGGTTGGCGAAGGTTTCCCATTGTCGGGCAATTTTTAGCGTGTTGTGCCTGCACGTTCCCACAACATGCAGAACCAAAGTAGTTTACAAAATACCATGCAATGACTGCCACAGGCATTATATCGGACAGACAGGAAGGAAACTAGCCATCAGAATGCACAAACATCAGCTAGCAGCAAAACGACATGATGAACTTTCCTTTATAATCAGTACACTCGGACAACGAAGGCTATCAGTTTAACTGGGGCAATGTAACCATAGGAGCCAAAGCCAAACATAGACCCGCACGGGAATTCTCAACCCATAATGCAATCAACAAACATATAGAATTGGACCCCATATACCAACCCATACAGAACAGAACCAGAAATGACACTACTCACCATAACGGAGTGGGCAATATAAATTCCAAGCAGAGTAGAACAACATCGCTTCATTGGAGGCCTCATTGATGATGTTACCTAACATGGTGATGAAACGTCTGAACAAAAACAAGCCAGCTTGGTAAACAAATCAACCACCTCAAAACACTGCAAAACATGCTTCTTTGAAGTGGTTTAATCCCTGAATAAGTCAATATATTTCTTCCCCAATTTAACACTAAGGGAAGTGAAACCATCAGGCACAATATAAACCAACATGCACGAAGATACTGCAGCAAATGTAGTGTCAATTAGTTTCTCAGAAATGAAGAATATTTGGGGCCCCTCTTCATTCAGATGCTTTTTACAGAAAATCTGTCTCAAATGACCAAACTCCTTCTATCAGTTAAAAGACCACTCAAGGCATCTGAAGGACATATTCAAACTGAAAGCAAAACTCCCTCACAAGGTTATCATATCACAAACAGCTGAAATTGACTTTTTATTCTTAAAATCTAAAAATAAAAAGTCAAATGTTTAAAGACACAATTTAATGACAAAATAGGACAGCTCAGGATTGAGCCTCATAATTCAGATATTGGGAGTGCTTTCAGAAGTTATAGCACCGGTTGCCAAGAAAATTCAGTCAATGAGGCATAGACCCTAATTCAAACATAACGTCAAAAGAAGAAGGAATCAGTTTAAAGAATGCTGTATGTGTGTTGTTTCTGGACTTGCGAACAGATTGTCCGATTAGTTCTGAACAAAAGACTAAAAAAGTTAGTCTTTTACAGGTTACGTTCTCGTAAAGTATTAATAAGTTCCTAATACCAAAGCCAACAAAGGAACGGCATCACTTTCTTTACCATTCCTTCCTCCAACTTCTCTCAAATCTTCTCTAAGATTGAGACCTCAACATGAGGTGAAACAAAGGAGGGGAGCTAGAACATTACCACTGCTTGAACAAGACAGGCCTATTAAAAAGGTGAGTATTTTCTTTATATAAAGAGGCAAAATTAATTTTAAATTTATAAAGCACAAGTGTGGATTTCCCTATCCTCAGACACCTTCCCCCCTTTCAACAACAAGATCTGTTGACGATTGTAGGTTCACAGACACTGGCTGATTCCCGGTGTCTTTTATATGAATATTTTTTCCATGTGAGTTTAACCGTCAAGCAGTGGCAAACACACAACAGCCAGCTGCAATCCTGTTGCCATCCAATACGTTGATCCAGCAGAAATTGAGAGTGGGAGGTCTGACCGATCCCAGCAGGGATCAAGGGTTGGAGCTGTGGCTGATTTTTCACCAACTCCAGGCCATCCCACCAACGGCCCAGGGGAGGACCTTGACTGCTGCAGAGACAACAGGCTGAACCTTGGAACATTTTCATCTACACAAGGGCAGTTTACAGGTTTTAAAGTACATATTGCACCCCACACACTTTTAAAAGAAAATAAAAGCCATCAGTTCTGGCCTGGATAGCTAATACAATTCTGGATATTCTGACAGCTAAATGAATGCAGCTTCTGCAACAAACATGGAAGCAGCTGCAGTTGAAACTCTCAGCCAGAAAGCAATATATATTTATACATGAGGACAACATTGAACTGGACAGATTTTGGGGTAGAGCAAAGTGGGAAGTTAAAGAATTAAAGATTCCTTACATTTACACTATTGGGGTTCTAAACGGGAATGAGGTTCTCTCATCAGGCAAAACAAATACACTGGACGTGATGCGAAAACCCCACAAAATCATGCAAACATTAGAGTCAGAATGCTGCAGAGAAATGCATTAAATGTATAACGCCATTGCAATTAAAAAAATTTCTACCACTTAACATTGATATCAAAGCCTTTGCTAACACCCTGTGCAATAGGTCAAGCTTTATCCAGTGACTTGCATCTGTCTGAATACACTGAACAGAATAACAAAATAAACTGGGTCTCAAGTGAAAAGAAAAAAAAAAAAAAAAAAAAAAAAGTGGCTAAAAAAAAAAAAAAAAAAAAAAAAAAAAAAAAAAGAGTAGCTAACAGACTAAATTTTCGACAGCACCTTACCTGACTGGTACACGCACTCCACAAGTAAACACAAGCACCAAGACCAACGCTTAGAACATTTGCTGCTGACCAATCCACTAGATTGAGATAAAAATCATCCTGCAGTTCTGGAGCATCCAGAACTTTAAACGGAATCTTTGAAATTTTTCTTGTTGGTTTCCGTGGCGACCGCAACAGCTTTTGACTGTTCAAATGGTAATAAGAAAGTTTAATCAATAGTTAGTTGATAAATTGATGTGACAACTCTATAAAATCTGCATATGACAAATAAGTTCTGCCTTAGCGCTCATTCAGACCAGACTCTCAATTTGGGGATGTAAAATATGATTTTAAGTAGGTGTCTCAGTCTCAATTTTTTTTTTAAAAAACTGCAATATGTTGCCATTTACTGCCATAACAGCAAGCCTAATGGGAAGTCCATCACCATTTTAAAACATATTTATTTCAGAGTTGCTTTATGAATTGGAGAGCACATTATTTTTCAGAGTTGCATTATGTAATTGACGACAGGAAAAGCGTTATAATACCTGCCAATCAGGAACTGGAATTGAAGGGGGAACTCAAAACTATAATCACCAGGGAAGTTGTACTGAACAATTGGTTTGAACTATGGATCAACAAATCCCTGGGCCCTAGGGTCTTGAAGGAAGTGGTTAGTGAGATAATATATGCTTTGGTTTTCATTTTTCAAATTTCACTAGATTCAGGGTAAATTCAATTACAAATGGAAAATAGCTAATGTAATTGCTTTATTCAAAAAAGGGATGGAGAGAGAAAGCAGATCTATAGATCAGCTGGCTGAACACTGTTCACAGGGAAATGTTAGAAGCTATTATTGAAGGTGTCATAACAGAGCACTTTGATAAATTTAAGTTAACCAGTCAGAGTCAGAATCAATGTGGTTTTGTGAAAGAGAAATCATGTTTAACCAATTATTTAAGTTCTGTGAAGAAGTAACGTATCTTGTGGATAAAAGGGAGCCATTGGCTTTACTAACGTGTTCAGAAGATATTTGATAAAGTTCTACAACATTGGTCAAATGTGGAAAGTAATAGCCCATGGTGCAGGGCTTTACATATTGGTACAGACAGATGATTGGCTAACTTACAGGAAACAGTAGGCATAAATTGGGTATTTTCTGGTTGGCAAGATGTAACAAATGGTGTGCCATAGGGATTAGTGTTGTACCTCAACTTTTTACAATTTATATAAATTATTTGGATGAGGAGATTGAAAACAGGTGTAGCAAGTAATTAGAAAAGGTAATAGAAAGTTATAGTTTATCACAACAGGAAATGAATAGAAAAATAAGGAGTTTATTCTTCAGTTATACAGGACATTGACGAAACCACATCTAGAATACTGTGTAGCCTAACATCTATTGTTGGAAAAATTTTGGAATCAATTAAGGAAGTAATAACAGGACATTTGTAAAATCATAATATAGTGAAACATAGGCATTGTTTCATGAAAGGGAAGTCATGTTTGATTAATTTATTAGAGTTTTTCGAGGAAGTCTCAACCAGAGTGGGTGGAGGGGAACCAGTAGATGTGTTGTATTTAGAATTCCAGAAAGAGTTTGACAAGGTACCTCATGAAAGGTTAAGTCACAAGAAAAGAGCCAATGTTGGGGGATAGCATACTGACGTGGATAGAGAATTGGCTCATGGGCAGGAAGCAGTGAATGGGGATAAGGGATTCTTTTTCAGGCTGGTAACCCATGATCAGTGGGGTTCCATAGGGATCAGTGCTGGGACTGCAAGTGTTCATAATATATGTATATAATATGACTTGGAGGAAGGAAGCAAATATATTGTAGCCATATTTGGAGATGCCACTCAAATAGGTGGAAAGACAAATTACAAGAAGGATGCAAAACAGTTTAAAGGGATACTGATAGGTTAAGTAAGTGGATGAAAAGAATTGGCAAATTGAGTATAATATGGGAAAATGTGAAGTTGTTCATTTTGGAAAGGGCAACAAAAGAACAGAGTATTACTTAAATAGAGAAAAACTGTACAAAGCTGCAATACAAAGGGAATTGGGTGGAGCTGTGCAAGAACAAAAAGCTAGCACACAAGGTGCAGCAGGTAATCAGGAAGGCTAATGGAATGTTGGTCCTTATTTCAAGGGGTTGGAGTATAAGTGTAGGGAAGTCTTACTGCAACCATACAAGGTGCTGGTAAGACCACATCTGGAGTACTGAGAGCAGTTTTGGTTCCCCTTATTTAAGGGGAGATATCATTTCATTGGAGGCAGTTTCAGAGAACATTTAATAGATGATCCCCAGTATGGAGGGATTGTCTTATGAAACATACATGATTCCTAAGAGGCCTGACAAGGTAAATGCAAGAGTCTAGGATCAGAGGGCATAGTCTCAGAATAAAGGGGTGCCAAGTTAAGACTGAGAAGAGGATGAATTCCTTTTGAGGGTTGAGTGTCTTTGGAATTCCTTATTATAGAGAGCTGGGGGTTGGGTGCAGATTTAAGGCTAAGACAGATTCTTATTCAGTACGGGAATCATGGATTTCAGGGAAAACGCAGGAAAATGGCTGTGAGGAATGTCAGATCAGCAATGATCCTACTGAATGGCAGAGCAAGCTCAATGGACTGAATGGCCTTCTCCTGTTCCTATTTCTTATGGTTTTACAATATTTATCTCCTTTTTTATAAAAGGTTATAAATATACTGGAGGCAATTCAGAGAAGGTCTGATTTTCTCTTTTGTTCAGAATGGCTCCTCAAATCCCATTGCTTTGATTCTGGTTTTGACCACAAAACTCTAATACTACTTCTTCCATTTCAAACATACCTGCTTGAATTTGTTCAAAATATTTGAGAATTATTTAGATGTATTATACAGAAGACCACCAGCCTTTTGCACCAATGCTAACTCGTTGCTAGAATGATCTAAAATCCATCAAGTTTGCCCTGAATAAATATTTTAAAAGTATTATACGAGTACAAATGCAAAACTTCCTAGTTGAGCAGCAAAATTTTTCACTTCACAGTCAATAACAAAGTTAACAACAGCAGGTACCCTGGTAAGGCAAATTACCTTTTATTGCTTACGGGGGACAATGAATATGGAGAAATCTCATTCCCACCTTCAGTAGTGGACCTCTTTGTGCTCAAGGCATACTGCAAATAAGACAACCCATAAGATGGACGAAAAATATTATGAAGTTAAAGTCACATTTTGCCAAAATAAACAAGATTTAGTGAAGAGGAATAAAATACTGAAATGAAATTCCTGTTCAAAACAGGTTTAAAACAACAGAAGATTTGCTGAATTTAACCTAGTAATTTTAGTTTTGCACTAAGACATGATACATCTTTGTTAATAAACCATCAAGACAAAACTAAAAAGTATCTGACCGCGGTCTTTAGTCAAATGAATCTTTAGCACCTTGACAAAATCAACAGTTCCGTTACTTTTTGAACGGACAGATCCACTTGGGAGCAAGCGGTGTCCAAAAATACAACTCTTAAAAGCTTTTTGAATCCAAAACACAAAGAAATACAAGAAGGCATTGAATGCCAAGGATCCTCAGCATCTGCCTGAACTTCTAGAACATGTTGTCTGAATCATGGCGCTTTCACCCTAATGCGGCACTCCCTCCTTACTGCGGCAGCACACCAACCTGGACTGTGTTCAGGTCTTTGAACAAGATTTGAACCCATGACATCATCTCAGAATTAAAGAAGAAACATGCAGCAAAACGTATCTACTTTCAGGTTTTGTACTTACTGTTATAGTAACTGAAGGGCTCCAAATAAAAGAAAGTTTTAGAATAAAAGGCAAGCAAAATTTTCATCCTACAATATTTCCTGCGTGCAGCAGAACGGATAAGGAGGCCACAGAACTGAACTACATGTCAACTCCCAAGCATGGACAGACCTCCCAGTTCTACTCTCGTTTACCATGGTCAAGTTGGTGATATAACTCAGAAAAACACAAGAATAGTTGAGGTCATGGGTGACTGATTACAGTCAGAACAATCCGTCCATAAAAACGACATTATTTAGCAGTTTCTTTGCATTGGGTACTTACTCTGAATAGATTCCTTCGCTCCTGCATTGGCATCTGGAATCTCCGATCTTCAGTCTGAGGATCGCTCACTTTTTCAATGCCTGCTCCCAGTAGCTCATTCTTCAGTAAGGCAGCATATGCTACACCATCTGTTAGTGGATAGAACACACCCCATTATTATAACATAATGGTATCATTCCAGATCACTGCAACTCATTCATCACCTGAAATCAACAATTAAAATGAACAGAGAATGTCTCCTCTGACAGTGAAATGCTGCAACTAAAAGAGGCTCTAAGCTCCGTGTCATTTTGGTGGATATGGGTTCACAAAATAGCTTGAATTCAATAATCTGACAGGTAGCAAGAAAGAAACTTCTACTCTAGGCTGGCGATTCAGTCTTAAATGAGGGATTCCTAAATGTTGGCAAGGTTGGTAAACTCCCTTCCTCAATGATTTGTAGGTTAATAGGCTGTCATCACTGCAGAGTTATAAGGCAATGCTTCTGAAATCATGTTGCTCTTTGAATCACTGCTGAGTATTTCAAACCGTTAAGAGAATAAATAGACAACTGGAGGAAAACAGAGGATACTGCAAGGAATAACATTTCCGCTGTAATCAAAACATTTTTGAGGGAGAGTTCCAAATTAAAAATGGGGACTTGTACAACTTTCAGGAATACCACTGAACAGAGAATAACACAGCATATTGATATTTCCACTAATTAGGATAGCCTGTTTAATAAATCACAAAAGTGATTGGTATTTTGTTGGTTCAGCAACCTCAGGTACACAGGAAAATAAATGAGAATTAGGCATTAACTTCGAAAACTTCAATGTAGCACCAAGCTGCTGCAGGCTCTTTTCTGCACACTCCATCCTTCTGAATAAAAAGTCTCAGGCATACATTGTTGCCAATTCTCAGTCTGTCTTAGCCACCTTTTAAATTCATTGATTCTATTTATTTAAAGTGTCCTACATTTAAAAAGATGGAGCCTGAGCTACCTAACATCCAAACAAAACCATAGAATAACACAGGACAAAACTAGACTGGTGCCAAGTGTGATATATTCAGTTAAATGATTTCACCTTACAGGCATCAAGTGAACACACAGAGTAATAGTTATACAGCAACAATAATATTTCAAACAGTCCTAATCACTGCTCAACTTAAGATGACTGGCTTCAGATTCATCCTCATTAAAAAAAATTATAAAGGCAGGCCACAGGGTACCTTATGGCAAATGACACCTAGATTGGCTGGATGGTCAACAGTGAGGAAAAAGATCCATGATTTCAGGAGGATATAGATGGATTGGGCAGATGGACAGATCAACGGCAGATGGAATTTAACCCTGATAAGTAAGGGTTAAGGCAAATAAAACACAGATCCCAGAAGGCAGCAGGACAGGTTAATTAGGTTAGTTAAAGCTGCATGTAGGACACAAGCCTTCATCAGTCATGGCACAGATTATAAAGAGCAGGGAAGTTATGATGGAGCTGTACAGGACTTTGGGTTAAGCCAGAGCTGGAGTACCGTGTGCAGTTCTGGTCACCACACTGGAGATGGTGAACAGGAGATTCACCAAGATGTTGCCTGGGGGGATATAGCATTTTAACTATGAAGAGATGCTGGATAAACTGGAATTTATTTTCTTTAGAGCATTCAGGGGACCTGATTGAGGTGTATAAGATACTGAAGGATGTGGACAGAATAGACAGAAAGCAGCTGTTCCCCTTAGGCAGCATAATTTTAAGGTGGAAGGCAGGAGGTTCAGTGGGGGATTGGGAAATCTTTTCACCCAGAGGGTGTTGGGAATCTAGAATACACAGCCTGGGAGCGTAGTTGAGGTGGGAAACTTCACAACTTTAAAAAATTCCTAGGATGAGCACTTGAAGTGGCATAATGTCCAAGGCAATGGGCCAAGTGCTGGAAAGTGGGACTAGTGTAGATTTAATAGTTGTTGTCGGTGTAGACTCCGTGGGCCAAAGGGCCTCTTCTGTACTGTGCTATAATTCAACGGTCTGCCCTCTGAACCACCATTGTATTTAAGGTGATCCAGACCACGATACTTACCATCTCTGGACATCAAACATCCACAAACCAGTCTGTCTAGTTTAAAATACACATTATCAGTAAGTACATTATTAACAAATAAGCTTTTTCAGTGGCTACAGTAAGAATTTTAAAGTTATGAATCCACTTTGATTTAAATCACACCACTTAAATATTAATAAAAAAGATCAAGCCTGATGCAAATATATTAATCAAAAAAATTGACACCATTCAAGACAAAGCAGCCCACTTGATTGGTAAGCCATCTACCATCTTCAATGTTCACCACCTTCACCACTAGTACACAGTGACAACAGTGTATACCATCTGCAAGATGCACTGTAGTAAATCTCCAAGACTGCACCTTCCAAATCCACTATCTAAAGGTGCAATTATATGCAAACACCACCATCTGCAAGCTCCCCTCCTAGACACACAATGTTCTGACTTGGTTCCATGTTGGCATTATTTTTCACTATTGCTGGGCCAAAGTTGTGCAACTCCCTTCCTAACAACACCGAGCATACCTACACCACAAGATGGTCAAGGCCAAACACCCACATCCCATGAATGGATTTTTATTTATTCATGATAAAGTGAAAATCTGGGGAAAGACATTCTGATGAGAGAGTGCAGACCAGAAATAAGGCAACAAACTGTCACCTCAATTCTCTATTCATGCTTCCCATGTTGGAAAAATGAGAAAAATTGTACTTCTCCTCGGGTCGTGCCCTGGGATGTCATCAACAACACGTGCATTGTATTTCCTGAGCCGAACATGTAGCCTTTGTGATCTTTAAAGTAATACAAACATACTGCAGCATGAAGGAATCATAGCAGTCACCACAGCAATTGACATTCAAGTGCATAATCTTGTTGCCATGGTCACAGCACAGCCACGCATTCAGACAATGGCAACCCTTCCTTCCTATAAACAGACTAACGTTGTGATATGTAGCACCCTCGGAAAGTAGTTAAAATAAATATTTGAGAATAATTAAAATGGTGGAAGGTATAGAAAAATGCTTCCACAGAATAAAGAAGAAGAATGGTTGGTGGAATTTTCTGCAACACATTATTGTTGGTGGCAGGAGTTCAAAAATGCTTTTTTAAAAAGAGGAAAATTCAGCGATTGCATCACGTTAAATGTTAAGGGGAATAGGAAGCACATGGAAGAGTGGGAATTAGAATGGGTGAATTTTGCGCAAGGCTTTGCTACAGAAAGTGGTTTGTTTCTGCCTAGTAATATTCTAAAATTCTCTAATCAAGAAGCGAGAATGTTCGAGATTTGTTTCTCAGTATCTGACGTGTCAATTAGTTTATGGACAATTTTGAATCAAAAGCAGTGAAGATGGGTCGCTTTTAACATTCTGCTATAGTTGCAGGATGTAATGTTGGTTATAAACCTGAAGTTAGTTTTTACTATTTAACTCATGATTGGACTAACACGAATTCTAAAACAACTTCATCGCAGCCCCCGAGAGTTGAGAAGGATGTAATACAGATGGGAATTTCCTGAAGAATTTATACTACTGACTATACTATGTCACTATAAATTGAAACAGAATACACTTTGCCAGACTGTTCAATTTAACTCTTCTTGTACACTGTTCATAACTTGAGTTTTTCTGTCATGTTATTTGATTTAGTTACAGCTGCCACAAAAATAACCAAAACACAAAAATTTAATTTGCAATTAATGTTGCCATGATATTTCTCTTGAAAAAGCCAGCTGCCATCTTTTCCACTGGATGCTGGACAGTCTGCATCATGGATTACTGAAGATGGCACTGCGAGGTTAAAGTACAACTGAGACAGTTAACTATGTCTATCATGATTTGTATGTAGGATCTCCGTTTCCTGCTGGCTACAGCATGAATTGGGCTGAAGCTAATCATTGTTAGTTGCCCTTTGTGGTCACACTCCCCACTTGCCTTCCCCTCTCCATTATCACCAAACTTTTGCAGAGAACTTACAATGTAGTTAGCTTTGCTGAAGCAATTAATATACATTGGTGATATACACTTTTTAAATTACAAGAGGGTTTGACTGCTATTATCTGCTCAATAAGAGGAACAATCAGGTGTTGGGTGATCTAGTCTAGCACTGTTAGCAACAATCAGCGAGACAAATAATTAACTTGCAAAAAAAAAATCACAGACTATCTTCCATCTTTCAAAGCCGAGAACGTTGTGTTCCAAAATCCAGTATTAATGGGTCTCACAAGCTGGTGACACCAGTAATAATTTTGTACACTGTTTCATTGCTTCCCTTCACATCCACACTATGAGCAATTAGTTTAATAATGCCAATAAACAAGCACTCACTATCACAAGTAAAATTTATTTTATTAAAGCCGAAAGATTTAATGTCAACATACTTACTGTGACTTCAGGTTACACCAAACCCAAAGAAATAAATGCATAAAATCTCAAAAATACAATATTTAACTTTCTCATTGTGAAGACAAAAGGAGATAAGTAATGTACCTTTCCCATTATCAGAGTTTGCTTCCTTCGTTTTTCGATTCTGGTTGGGGGATTTTCCATTTTCCTGATAAGGACCAAGAGTACAGCAAAGTATTTACTCAGTGAACGTTCCCTCTCCCCAGACAATAAACAGATTAGTCAATATGTTAATATTGTAGAGTTAATGACAGACTATTATTACTATAGACTAATAGGTAGCTTGGGGTGTTTGTCACAAGTTTGTGATTCAATTTGAGTGATCAAATGAGTTAAGATAGTAACAAAAAGCATGGTTCCTTTTGTATATGTTACCCATTAGGTAAAATATTACCCATTCATTGGTATTTTTGAAACGAGTGACAGAACTGATTTGCACCTTTATCCCTCAACTGTCTGGGAGGCAATAGATTAGCACACCAACTTAACACCTTGTTGGCCTTTCTAGATACATGTCATCACCTACTATATGCAGCTATTAAATATCAACAACTTAAATAGGAGAATCCATCAAAATTATAAAATGAACCATAAAACAGTTAACATTTTTCAACACTATTTAAAACAGAATTACAAATGTGTTTAAATTGGTTGGTCACTATGTAAAAATATTTAACAACAAAAATTACTTGGAATGAACTGGAGCCTGCAGCACCTTTTGCTATACAATTTGTGAAAAGTTTCAAAGGAATGATGATATTTGAATACTGAGGCAAATCAGCAGAATTGCTCAATGATCTAATGGTAATTTAACGTTCCTAAGATTTAAGAGTCACTAGAACTAAACTCTGTCCTGCTTTAAAAAAAAAGAAAATTGTACAAGTACATGTTATCAATGAACCCTCAGCATGTATGCCTCAACATATTAACTGCACTAATGTGAATATTTCTATTTCCTTTGTTGATTTAACATTACATTTTCTTGCCATTGCATCTTAGTTCAGACACTTGCCACTATCATACCTAAAATATGATGCCTCACAGATCAGAGATTGTCAAAGTAAAATAACTTAAAACCTGGCTAAGACATGTAATGGCATTTTCCAAATCCTCCAAAGTGGTAAACTTCAATAAAATGCAGTGAACACAGGATGGACAAATATATTAATTTTGTGATTAAATGGTGTTGGATTTAAAACTAGGTTAATATAGGTCAGAGGGTCAATAATCTCCTCAAAAGCCAACACCTTTTTCCAAAATTAATTTCAAGATATTTACAATGTGACTCCCAGCACTGGTTAACACAGGATCTGCTAGATTAACTGATGTCACTTATAAAACCATTGCAATCACTCACAAAAATACCATCATTTCTTACATTTATAGCATGAAAGTTGATGCTCCAGTTTGAACTTGCTCTGGTTGGGATGAAGCGGTCTCCTGTCTTACGAGGAAGGATTCCTGGAGAGTTTGCGGTTACAGGCCGCGTGCTCAGGGCAGACTGTTTAAAATAAAAAGATATTCATATCAGCAAATTATTTTGGAAAATAGAAATAATCTCAAATTACTTCAATTCATGAGTGTTACAGACAGAACTTAAAAAAAGTGAACATTTATAGGAATCAGCAGAACTATTGGATCCAGTCACATAAATATATTTATCAACATTTTCAGATATGAAACCTCTTCTTCAGTTGTGCCATTAGTCATGGCTTCCACATCTATAGGTGCATTTTACATACATTGCTACTTAAATAAACAATGCAATTTCCCAAGATAAAGTTTACTTTTAATAAGCAACATTTTAAAATCTACTCTGGTCAATCTATAAGAAGTGAAAATATTCTGTATCGTTATCGTTTTAGTCTGGGTCCAGTATTCACTTCAATCCATTAATCTGAGCTTCAAATCTTATGGTATGTTGAATGCCTAATGATGGGCAGATTGAATTCAATAATTCTCCCAACCACTAGCTACCATCAAAGTTTCAAACAAAACAGTGTCCCTCCTTTGCCCCAGTCTTATAAACTCAAATCTATAACTTCTGCATGACCACCTTAAAATAACATGCCTGGAGCAGTGCACACTATTTGTAACAGAGGTATCATCATTGAATTCCAGAACAAAACTTTCAAATAGTTAAATAATGTTCCAAGCCAAAAAAATCTCCACCCTATTATACATTCCTCAACAATGACAAGATCCCAGTCAACATTCAAATTAGCAGACCTCTGAACGGACCTCACAGTCAGCAGTGCATTGTTTATCATATGGAATTATTCACCCATTTACCATCAGCTGGTTAAGCCTGATCAGTAGAAATCGCAGGCTGCTCTACATAACTGTACGAGTCCAGGACTCTATAAATAAGAAACAGTCAGTCTTTGGAAGAGATTGGGATGGTAATGGCACCATGCATGTTAAAAGCATCCATCTCATTCAAGCCCAACAAAGGCTTTGGTCTCCAAGGGATCCACACAATTGCGTCAGCAAGAAAAGCAACAGTCATCTGTTTGGACACAGATCACTAAAATTTGACCATGGCATAAGATGGAGTTATTTCCTTCCCTGGTCTTTTGTTGGCACACCTCCCTGCAAGACACCAGTTCTTCTCTTAGTTTCTTTTCTTCCCTCACAGAAGGAATTTTTCTCAAAGAGGGTCATGCGTTTTTGGAACACTCTTCCTCAAAAAAGGTGATGGAGACTCTGAATATTTTTAAGGCAAATGCAATTAGATTCTTGGTAAGCAAGGGGTGAAAGGTTATCAATGTAGATGAGAATGTGGAGTAATCAGAACGGTCACAATCTTACTGACTGGCTGAGCAAGCTCGAGGAGCTGTGCAGTTCCTGCTGCTCCCAATTTATACTTTTATATTTTTCCTAGACATTACAGCAGATGTCGTGAAGTCAGAATGCTAATTGCCACAAGCCTAAACCTACCTCTTATCATCCGTCAGCACTGTCCCATCGCAACTGGAACAGCAAACAATGCTGACAAAACGCCTGCAAGTGGCAGGGGAAATGTGATTGAGAAATAATTCACAAATTCAAATGTAATACTGATAATATTGATAAAAAATATGTAACAGGTCAATTGCAAATCAAAGCACTCCTAAATTGATACCAAATTTTGGAAGATGGAAAATAAAAAATGAGAATCAAACTAAAAAAATACTAAAACCTGTAAAATTGTTAAAGCATGTAATATAACCTCTCTTTAATCCTTTACTAGTCAAGCACAGGGACTGTACATCAAGTCATTTGCTGTCAGAAAGTTCCAATTTGGAATTGGAGATTTTCTATCACACAGTATTTAACCATCACCATTGGTGCTACTCAAAGCATTGTCACAGTTTACACGAGCACCAATGATGGCTGCAATATGAAGTTTATATTTATTTCAAATTGAATAGTTCATTAAAGCTGTAGAATGTACCACATACTTTAGAAATGGAAACAAAAAAAATACATAAATGTGTTTACACACTTATTTCCAGCACTGGCCTGATACCACCGCAGAAACAGTGCCATGGCAAATGTGCATAGATTCTGTGGCTATGGTAATTGTATGAGGAGTGCGGACCATCAAACATTTTGCCATTTCACCCAAAGTTACATATAGCCTCTGTTCTTTTCTTCAGCCAGTTTCAAAGCATACATGTCTTGCACACTGCTGCATCATGAGTCCATGTGTTACAGATCAAATACTTTTCTGTAATAACTAAACTGCACAAAATTGGAATTTCACTTTTTTACTGATGGAAGGTGAAAATACCATTTAAAGTCAAAGCAAGGGGCCCATAAGAAAGGAATGACTGACACTGGAGTCAGTTCAAAAGAGGTTCACTAGACTGATTCCTGGAATGAAAGGGATGACTTATCAAGAATGGCTAAACAAATGAGACCTTTATTCATCAGAATTTTGAAGAATGAGTAGCGATCGTATTGAAACATAAGATTCTGACGGGACTTGACAAGGTAGATGCTGAGAAGATGATTCAAGTAGTGGGCAGTCTTGAACTAGAGGAAAAAATTTCAGAAAAAGGGGACATTCATTTAAAACTGAGATGTGAAAGACAGAACTACTGTGATCTTACTAACTGGCAGGGAAATCTTGAGGGGCTGAATGACCTGCTCCTTCTCCTATTATGTTCTCATGTGTAAGTGAGATGATGAGAAGGGGGCAAGAGGAGTTCTAAAGCTAGTCACAAAATTCCATGATTTATCTTTGTTGTTAAAGTGAGCGGATGGGCCCAGTGACTTTTTGTAATTATTCACTTGCTGAAGGCTTTCAATAACTAAAATGGAAATAAGTTTTCACATTCCGAATCAAAATAGTGGGAGAAAAATGGTGCTAACTATACAACATATGCGGTCTGTCCCAGTATTGGGTGCAGGTGGTAAATCAGATTTAGTCAGAATGTTGATGTAGGTATATGAAGAGGGGGTTGATCTCAGGCATGAAAGCAGCTTTAGGGGTAGTAATCCATTAAATGCAAAATCAAAAATGTAATTTCAACAGTATAGTGGCAAATACAATTCTACCCTAGTTAATAGTTTGCGTAGCGAATATTTATAAGTCACAAACGTACTGATTGAGAGAGAACTTCTACACATTCTCCTCTGCCAGTGTAGTGATAATAGATATTCAGTTACAATAAAGATTAACATTCCAATTGCTTTCCCGATTGCTGGCTGCACCTACATGTATACTTTGAAATTTATGTATAACAGCACTCAGGTCTTTATAAATACAAACATTTCCCAGTCTTTCACCTTTTTGTGTATTACTTCTCTGCATTATATTTTATCTGCCATGTTCTCGCCCACTCTCTCAAGCTCCCTTTAAAGCATCTTGGCATTTTTTCATAGCTTACTTTCCCCCCTAATTTTGTAATCTCAGAAAACATGAATACATAGAACACAGAACAGTACAGCACAGTACTGGCCCTTCGGCCCATGATGTTGTGCCGACCTATTATCCCAAGATCAAACTACCCTACATTTTACTACCATCCATGTGCCTATCCAAGAGTCGCTTAAAAGTCTCTAAAGTATCTGACTCTGCCCACCACACTCTGCGTAAAAGAACCTACCTCTGACATCTCCCCTATACCTTCCTCCAATCACCTTAAAACCATGCCCCCTCGTAATAGTCATTTCTGTCCTGGGAAAAAGTCTCTGGCTATCCACTTTATCTATGCCTCTCATCATCTTGTACCCCTCTATCAAGTCATCTCTCATCCTTCTTCACTCCAATGAGAAAAGCCCTAGCTTGCTCAACCTTTCCTCATAAGACCTGCCCTCCAGTCCAGGCAGCATCCTGGTACATCTCCTCTGCACCATCTCTAAAGCTTCCACATCCTTCCTATAACGAGGCGACCAGAATTGAACACAAGTGTGGTCAGACCAGGGTTTTATAGAGCTGCAGCATAACCTCACGGCTCATAAACTCAATTTCCCTGCCAATGAAAGCCAGCACACCATATGCCTCAGAGATAGTAGGAACTGCAGATGCTGGAAAATCTGAGATAACAAGGTGTAGAGCTGGATGAACATAGCAGGCCAAGCAGCATCATAGGAGCAGGAAGGCTGACGTTTCGGGCCTAGACAT